GAAATAAGACTGAACTTAATGCTGATTTTTTGTTTTGCTTCGTTTTGTTCCTTGGAGATATGGAAATCTTCACGGCTCCAGTATTTCTGTAAACCGTGCTGAAGAAAAGTCACAGCGCTACCAAAGCTTTCTAACAGCTGGTCCAGGCCACCTGAATCCTGTCAATTGTCCTTACCCTTTACCTCCAGATAGACACCATCTGACTGCCTTTACAACCAAGGTCCCATCTCAAAGTTCAGCCATTAAAATGCCATAAATTCTGCAAAAGTAGTTTACCATAAAAATTAACAGGACAGTGAATAGCTTTTTATAGAATGAGAAAAATCCTATTAAATGAGAACCATTAGCAAGGAGAAACTGGGTAGGCTTTAAACTGTAATAACCACAAAATTTGGATTTCAACATTATATATTTTTCCAATTTAATAGAAAAGTATAAGTGGCATCATTAAGTGCAATTTAAAGGCACGGTGGGTTTTAAGCTAATAATGCAGCAACTTAAATACATGTGCAAATAAAACAACCAGGTATTTGTCTACAACCCTGACAAAGCCATTTGAGGACTCTGGATCATTTCATTGTAAACCTATTTATTCCTGAAGCAATAATATTCTCAACTGGCAAAAGAACATATTTCCAGCATCAGAATACTTACTGCATAGCTAAAAACAAATAAACACACACACACACACACTCTTTAGTATTTAGGCTGTGCGTGACATTGGCTTTAAAAAAAAAAAATCACCCTTCTCAAAAAAAAAATCTCAAAACCCTTCCAAAGTCAGAACTAAGAAATAAGGGTGAGACAGGAAGAGAAAAAGATGGAAACATTGGGAACCTCAGAGAAGGAGGATGTAAAATGCGCAGCAGGAATGTTAGAAAGTGAGCACCAGGCCAAGAGAGGTGGGGAAGCAGCCCTGAAAAGGCCACTGTGACCCTCCTGGGCACCGTCCTCCCAGGCACCTGCCCCAGGCCTCATCGGGCCGCCGTCTGAGGGCCGCACACGCGCTTCTCCATTACTTTCCACAGCAACCCTGCTTTGGGCCCGTCTGTACAAGGGTCTCCTTAGGCCTCCGCAGTACGTGGAACAGGCTTTCCTTTCTGAGGAGGAAGCTGACTGCTTTATGATGAAACGTTCTCCTTTCCCTGCAAGGCTGCTGCTTCGCCTGGAATAGCAGCAGCACACCCAGGGCCCGGCTACGCCGAGGCAGCGGTGTCCACCAGCCGACCCTGGACGGCCGCGCGAACTCCGCCGCCGCTTAGCTCCAATGGGAGCAGGGCTAAATATGGGGACCCAGACCCAGAGGTGGATGTGGGCGAGTTCGTGTTATGTAAGCCTAAGGCAACAGTGTTATCCTTGAATTACAGAACTCGTGGAACTACATTTTACCACAGAGAATTTCAGGGATTCTGAAGGTGAGAGCTGTAGCCCAGCTCCACGGCCTGAATAGCATATTTTTTAAATTTATTTGTAGTGCTGTCAGTATCAGATGTCCCCCATTTTCCCCACTTTGCCCCCCTTCACCCAGCCCCATCCCCCACGCCGACGGGCCTTCGTCACACTGTTGTCTGTGTCCGTGCACTATGCATACAGGTAGACGTTCTGCAGTTCATTTCTTCCATCCCCACCCCTCCCGTCCGAGATCTGTCAGTCTTCCATGCAGACACACCTTTGCACCTGTGCCACATTTTTTTTTAATTTTTTTTTTTCATCCTCACCTGAGGACATTTTTCCATTTTTTGTTCAGATAGAGTGGGAGGGAGAGAGAGAGAAACATCGACGTGAAAGGGACACATCGAGTGGCTGCCACCCACACAACCCAACCAGGGCCGGGGACAAACTGCAGCCTAAGTACATGCCCTTAGCGGGAACCGAACCCGGGTCTCTCTGGACCACAGGCTGAGGCTCTAACCGCTGAGCCAAACTGGCCAGGGCCCTATAGCACAGTTTTAAAAGAACATGACTAAAGGGGCTTGGGAAAATTCTACCCTGACCCCGACTCATCATGCCTCGAAATACAGCCTCCTTTACCAGACACAAGCACCTCTCGGTGACTGTAAGGCATCAACTCGAATTGACAAAAAGAGATCAAGAGCAAAGACATGGTTTCCTTTGATCACAGGCATGAACTGTGGTGGATGGAGCAGGGACTCGTCCAATTAACCGTGTGTGTGTGTGTGTGTGTGTGTGTGTGTGTGTGTGTGTGACAAATGGAAAAGACATGTATTCTTTCTTTCGAATGGAAGAGTTCCAGAAGTGGGAAGGTCATACTAACGCTGCATTGCCGACCATGGCCATTCACCTGCCATCTTCCTTTTAAAACAAAAAAACAGCCCAGCCGGTGTGGCTCAGTGGTTGAGTGTCGACCCTGCACCAAGAGGTCACCGGTTCCGTTCCTGGTCAGGACACATGCCCAGGTTGTGGGCCCGATCCTCAGTGGGGGCGTGCAGGAGGCGGCCAGTTGATGTTCTTTCTCATCGATGTTTCTCTCTCTCTCTCCCTCTCCCTTTCTCTCTCTCTAAAAAATCAATAAAGAAAAAAATATTTTAAAACAAACAAGAACAACACTTTATTGCTGTATTATTAACATACAAAAAGCCGTACATATTTAATGTATATAACATGAAGAGTCTGGAGATAAGTCCACACCATGAAACCATCATCCCAGTGGGTTCCATACACATACTACCACCTCCCAATGTGTCCTTCCCCCTCCTCTAATCCCATCAACTTCTGAGCGCATACCCTTGGCTGGGGTGGAGCAGGGGAGAAGTCAGGAGGGAAGCAGTCTTATTTTAGATACATTGTAGGACTGAGGGACTGGGCCCAGGTGTTAGCTGGGGGCCAGGGGGCCCTCTGTGGAAAAGGGACATAAATACACAGGGGGGAGTGAAGGAAGAACCCTCTGTAGATAAAGGTGCAGACACCCCAGGGTGACGACTCTAGTCCCGGGCTCTTGGGCAAAGGTTCATTCCAGGGCTGGGGCCCAGAGGTCCAAGAGGAACCTGGGACATCTTGTTATACCACCAAGGGAAGAAGTCCTCAGAAAACAAGGGACATCGAAAGGGAAACAGGGCCTGCTTGAAGGTGCTCCTACTGGCTAAATGCGGGGAAATTTGATCACCTAAATAATTAACGTCAGTAATGATTATCAACCATTGAAGAATACCTTTGGTTTTGCTTATTTTCTGAAATTAGACAATAGTATTAAAGGACAGGGTATTTGGCTTCCAAAGGCAAATTAGAGGCAGTGCTGATTTTAATTCAGGGTTAATCCAATTAAAGTAGTTTATAAACTGATGCTTGGTAAAATGAGAAATGTTATTTTGAAATGAGTTTCCTTGAGGATTCTTCGCAGAGAGATGCTGGAAACGAAGTTCCCGTGCAGAAAGCTGGTTGTCAGTGAATGAAGCATCCTTCTACATAACGCCACAGTGTAACTGCCGAGCTGATAAATAAAGATGTCCACCGCTCTTTGATTATTCTGTTTGGCACAGCCCATTGTTAAGTGAATTTGGGGTCCAGTCGCAAAGCTTGCGCATTGGAACTATTGAAAAGGCACACTCTTTTGTTAATTGCCATTAATCCTAGCATCCCATGGCTGGACGCCCTGTGGGTTTGTTAGAAAACATCTCATGCTGAAATTAGCTAAGCCTAAAGGATGTTGGAAGAGGCAGAGACACGATAACCCACAAAAAGAGATCCGAATCGGCGTCTCTGCCGCCGGGGCTCACCCCTGGTAGGTCAGTGAACACTTACTGAGCACCTGCTGTCGTAGGTCAGTGAACACTTACTGAGCACCTGCTGTCTGCCTCATGTCAGTTTGCACCCTGACAGAATGAAGACACATCGGTCACCTGTACAGATATTGAACATTAAGCACTGTTCCTTTGTATAACTCTAGCCTTGTGATACGGTGAAGAGGGCTGTAAAATAACATAAAGAAAGATAGATTTTCTGGAGAGAGGCCGCGGGAATGTTGTAGGGACAGCAAACTGCCCAGGGTCCCTCCCTCCCCAGCCCTTCTGCTCTCCGGGAGTGACCACCATCCAGACAGCTGCCCACGGTCCAGCTGGCCATCGGCCCAAGTGGCCGCTCCTGAGAACACACAAACGGTGATTCCTGGGGCTCGCAGTCCTTCGGAGCGCCCCTTCCTCTCCGGGCTGTCCAGCGCCCCACACTTGGCACACGCAGCTGACTGCGATGAGGTCCCCCATTCCCTCTCGGGCCCTGCACCCCGCCACGTGCCACTCCTAGAATGGTCCTGCCCTCTGGTGTCCAGGCCCTCGGGCACGTGCCCCTCCCGTCTTCACCACCCTTCCCCTTTCTCCGGCTTGGCCAGCTGCGACCATCCTTCAGCCTGTTGAGCGTCACTCCGGAGGAAGGCCGGTGGGTCACCGAGTCTGAACGAGAGGCCCTCCCAGTGGCCCACGCCCCGGCCCCTCCCTCCCCGCTGCCCACACCCGACTTGCCCGCCCGCCTCCAGCCAGCTGTGCTCTGCAAGGGCGGAGAGCCGCTCACACCAGGCCTCAGTCCCTGCCCCGAAGGGGTCCATGTTCCCCACAGTTTACTCAAGGAATGAATAAGTCAGGTCCAATGACTTAATAACTAAAAATAATTTTTTTCAATTCTCACCCAAGGATATTTTTCCATTTATCTTCAGACAGAGTGGGAGGGAGAGAGAGAGAAACGTCGATGTGAGAGAGACACGTCGAGTGGCTGCCACCCACGTGACCCCAACCAGGGCGGAGGGCGAACTGCAACCGAGGTACGTGCCCTTAGCGGGAACCGAACCCGCAACCCTCTGGTCCACAGGCCGGTGCTCCAACTGCTGAGCCAAAGCGGTCAGGGCTTAAAATAATTTTTAATGAAGTATTCTGGTAAGCTAACCTCAAAATGCCCCGTCCATGCTAACTATCTATGTTATGCATAGAACGTCGTGGGTGCTGTGGCGGCATGGACTGAGCAAAAGACGTGGCCCGGCCACATCAACAACCTACGCTGTGCGTGTGAGCAGGTGCGTGTCTGTCCCATGTCCCCGTCTCTCATCTTCTCATCTGATCCTTGTCCTTGGCAGCTGAAGGTATTGGTAGAGAGTGGTTTTGTAAACAGATGCGTGTACACTGAACAGCGAGAGGTCGATTGTGGGGGGTCCTCCATAGATCAGAGCACAGCAGTCTTGTCTAAAGGCAGCAGATGACAAGGATCAGGTCATTTTTCATAACCCCTCAAGTACAAGGCATTGAGACTTCTTTTCAACTAACAGCTTACTTTGGGGAAGTGTTTAGCTTGTTTTCCCTCAAAGGCTGTGTTTTTCGGTCCGTGCCCTGGGGTCTGGGGTTCGCCAGCCACCGAGAGTAGAGCTCCGAGCCCGGGCTCCGCCTCGGTCAGAGGGCCTCTGCTTCCATCTGCTCATTCTGTTTCTAATCCTCGCATGTCAGAGAAGATTCTCCTTGGAGGAGGGTTCACTACATTCAACTAGGAAGAAAGAAAGAATCGAGGCGGAGGTTGAGAAACACCGCCTTCCAGAACCCGTGGCGGAGGGAGGCTCACGCTCGAATTCAAGCCTCACATCTTTCCTCATTCCTGTTTAGATTAAACTCATGTCCATCGAGTTTACAGGCCCTTATCTGTGCTACAATGACAAATACCATTTGAATGCAGAAATACCCAGGTAGAGAGAAACCAACATGGGTTTTGAGAAGCACAGTTATTTCTGCTGCAGCCGTTTCTGAATGTATTTATCTTACAAGGTGTCATGCGTTGGCTCTGGACCCATCCTCCAGGGCACAGTTCGTACGTGGACCACCAGAATAGCCTAACCGAACCACAGGCAAGCCCCTGAGCCAGCACCAGCTGCTGTTTTAGGGGCTGTAAACAGATGTCTCATCTCCCTTGAACCATTTCTTAGTAAAAATCACCCTAAATAGAAAAATCCACCAAACTCACATTTAGCTAGGAATTTTAGCTATTCGCCAATCAAAAAACCAAAAAGCAAGGAGGTGACTGAAACTAGAGGGAGATCCATCACCCCACATCCAGAACACCAGCTGGGGAGCCACCCCGGAGTGATGAGCAGCAGCCGGCCCACGTTCACAGCCCTCAGCGGCGGACTGGTACCCACTGCAAAGCACGGAGACGCCTGCAGACAACCCCAGCTCTAGACATCACTAAGTTAGCTGACCCTGGAGATGGACATATGTACTTATTCCTACACTCTATGGAGGTGAGACTCGGCCAATCGAATCATCTCCTCCAGGGTTTTCTATGTGACCCCTCTCAGCCACAGTGCCCACTGGCAGCGCCAGGCTCCCTGGCACGGCCTAGCCACGCCCTCCTTTGGAACCCAGTGTTGTCGGTTATCTCTCCCCCAAACCAGACTGTAGCCTCAAAAGGGAAGGACCATGTCTCTCTTCTCTCCATGGACCCTAATGGTCTGAGAATGTTGCTAAGCATTTGTGGGTGCTAAACAAATGAATGTTGACTGGTTGTTTAAGTTTGCCTATGGCTTGCATCGACCCACTTCCGATGTTGACAGAGAGGCTGGTACGGCTGTGTCGGACACTCCATTCCATTCCATGCCCGTCAAGAGTCTAAGGGGCAGACTGGTGGCCAGCGCAGGCCTTTTGAGAGCCGGCATGTGTCACTCCCAAAGGGCTTTTCTCCTCTCCCCGAGCTCAGTATGAAATCAGAACACTTGGATCCAAGTCCTCGCCACGCCAGTGGCCAGGCAGTTAATTTCTGTTTGAGTCGACTCCCACGAAGGTTCTTTGCTCCAACTGCAACTATCCATGGTTGTATGAGCTGAACTTCAGGCCTTTCCCTTCTATATCAGAAGTCCAAGGAATGGTCCCGCAGTCCCATCCAAACAGCCACTTGGCATGTGTTTGCTAAATACACACAGGTATGAAGTGAAGATCAGACAAGAAGGTGAAGTGTCTTCAGCAGAACTAAACCCAGTCTCCAGAGTAGGTTAGCCTTACAGCAGAAATCAAAGATGGTCTGGAGCACAGGTGCACCAAGTCAGCAATGCCTTGGAGCACAGGTGTAGTGAGTCAGCAACGCCTTGGAGCACAGGTGCAGTGAGTCAGAAACATCTTGGAGCACAGGTGCACTGATGATGGTAAGGATGGGACAGGTAATTTTAGTCCTTAGTGCAGGATAACACACACACTTTGGAAACCTTCCACTATACCCTGCTTTCAGAATCAAAGATAAGCAGCCCATTTGCAAACAAGCACCAGTAATAATAAATAAAACTAAATTATTTTCATACTGGTCAGCAAAGAGGCTTTTTTTCAACTTAATCAACAGCTCAGTGGCCCTGAGAATAAGTTCCTGATCTTTTAAATTCTTTTCAAAATAAAAAAACTTTTTTTTTTTTATTGTCTCCTCAAATGATATCAGGAAACATCACAGTGGTACTTACAGTAAATGGCTTAGAAAGAAAATCCAGTAACATTTTTGATAGATTTTAGGGAATATATGAGCCAGATAAAAATATATGAGCCATACAGAATTTCAAAGCAACTTAAATTAATAGCTATGAGTTCTGAATAATGAAGAAGTTTTCAGAACCTAATATTGCTTTGTTCTGCAAAGAGACTAAGGATATCACCCAAAGACCTTTCCCTGGCCAAATTATTTGTTATCCGACTGATTATAGAGAAAGGAAGAAACGTCACTTCTTCCTACACATCTAGCACAAAGAACCATCATGAAATCACAAATAAAAAGTCGGTGCTAGAAGTGAGATGTACAAAACAGAATCCTACAGGGGATATTTACAATGTTATTTCTCACTGACCAAATTACACCTAGATTTTGCTACATTTGGTGTGATCACTTAAGCACAAATATTTAACAGTCACATAAATTTTTTTTAAATACATTTTTATTGATTTTAGAGAGAGAGAAAGGGAGAGGGAGAGAAAGAGCAAAACATCAATGAGAGAGAACCATCGATTGGCCGCCTCCTGCATGCCCCACACGGGGATCGAGCCCACAACCCAGGCACGTGCCCTGACAGGGAATCGGACCAGAGACCTGCTGGGGCCCGGGAAGGCGCTCCCCACCCGAGCCACGGGAACCAGGGCGTAACAGTTTTTGACTAACAGTACGGTAAAGCTTTGTTGCATTTTTAAAATAAAGACAGAATAATGGGCCACTCTCAAAATCAGTCAAATAAAGTACTCTTCTACAAATCATGAAATTTATAAACTCTGAAAGAAGCATCAATTGGGAGGGAAAAAAAAAAAAACAAACATAAAAAAACAAGTTTATTGTGAAACCAACGAAATAAAAATTTCCGTCCAGTAAAGAATATTCATTATTTTGTGTTGTCTAAAATATTCTATCACTATATTGATACTGTAATACAATTTTTGTTATGCTAATTACCTCAGGCAATCCCTACATTATCCCTACCTTTATCCCATTTTAAAAAGTATAAACGGAATCTCAGAGTAGTTGAGTCATCTCCCCAAGGTCACACAGACAGACAGTAGCGGGACTAAATCCAGGTGATCTGACCCCGTGACCCCTGGCCTTGAGCACTCCGGTCTGCACCGCCTGCCAGCCGCTCTCCACCGAGAAGCATGCTCAGCACTGCCCACGACACAGTGACACAGCGGGTGCGTCGCTGACCTCACACCTGCGCCCCTCTCCACCGAGAAGCATGCTCAGCACTGCCTACGACACAGCGACACAGCGGGTGCTCGCTGGCCTCACACCTGCGCCCCTCTCCACCGAGAAGCATGTCGGCACTGCCTACGACACAGCGGGTGCTCGCTGGCCTCACACCTGCGCCGTCGCAGCATCCGGACCAGCTTGCAGCCGCGTCCTGAATGCACAGTCCATTCAACCCGCTGCATGAAAGGCACACGCTCAGGTCTCACTCGTGCCCGGCAGCTCTCCAAAGGGGCAAGGGGGACAACAGGGAGAAAAGCGCACACCTATACACAACCTCGATGAACAGAGGAGTGTCGCTGAGTTGTCTTTGTTCTGAACGAGCGCGGCCGCCCCGGGCCCTGTTGTCCTTGGGCCGCCTGCACTGCCTCCCAGAACGGGACGCCCCACTGCAGAAACAGAAGCGGGGCGAGCCCTGCACCCCGAACACCCCGCCCGCCAGCCAAGGCCCTTCCTCGTTGCTCACCCGGACCTCGGACCGTCAGAGGGGAGCTAAACCGACTCCACCGCGTGCAACATGTACCCCTGGGCTGCCGCAGAGTCAGTGCCCTTGAAGGGGGACATTCCCCACACCGCTTAGTTAATACCAGAAAAGCACCTCACCGTGCTTCACGCATAATCTTCATATGTGGTATTTTCAGCAAATATAAAAGCAAACACAAAGTCCTTGCAAATCAACCACTTTAAAACCAAAAAACGCAATTAATGTTGAACTACCAGTTTTCCTGCAGTTGTTACATTAGCTAGTCCATATTCATAACCACACCAGCATACTCCGCTTTTCAAACACAAAGCTGATGTGACCAGCGTCACCCTGCACGTCACCTCCTGCCACTAGGAGGACGAATTCTCACCCAATGTACCCGTTTCACATTTTACCCCAATGCACACAGTTCTTCATTTGCTGGAGAACAAAAATATGTGCTGGGCAAAGGGTCAGGATGAGGCCACCAGATGACCCTTGATCAACCCCAAGGCTGTGGTCTCAACAGCATGTTTTCTCATCAGCCAGACTCCTCAGTGAGAGGCACTGTAAGCAAAGATAATAATTAAGTAGTTGACGGCACCATAAGATTAAATGTTGTGTAAGAGCCAATGCAGACTTCCATCTTCTGCTGCGATCATAGATTTGTGAAAAGCAGAGGATATGCAAATCCATGCTAATAAGGTGGCAAACTTTCCCCGAGAGAAAATCACACTTCAGATAAATGCCTCGCCATTTTGATATTCCATAATCAAGTGGCAGTCCTTGGGAATCTATCTTTCCCTATCGACTTCTTGGACTCGGTGTTTTCAACAGAAGCAGATTAGAAAACACTTCCAATCAGCCTTTTTCTTTTTCCAGCGCCTCTCCCAGGAGGAGAGAAACTTAAGACAAATGACTTCAAAACCCTCCCTCCCCGCACACTCCCCGCACAGCCCCCTTTCCTAGCGGTGTGCACAGGTAGCCTACGGCCTTTCACACCCGAGACCTAGGAAGAAAGAGAGAGAGGAAACCCACAGGGCAGTCCCATACCTGGCTAAGGAACTGGTTCCCCTCAACTCTGCGGGTCCCGCCCACACTCCTTCCAAGCGGAGAGGAGCTCACAACACGCAGAGACACAACAGGGAGACAGTGACAACACTACCGGATGGGACGCCTCGCCCGGCCCAGAGAAAATCAATGAGGCCCAAGGAATCTCTTTTGTACCCTGATTTATTTAGGGGAGAACTCTGGAAGGCAGTGTCTTTAGGCTTCTGTGTGCTGCACATATTCTGCTCCCCCGACTGGAGGGAATCTGTAAGAAGAC